GGTGACACGTGAGAATAAACCTAGGTTCAAACCTACACGGAGGTTGTTACCGATTTATAAGGCGATTGATCATATGTTGTCTAGTAGGCTTCGATCCTAAGACATTCTTACCCTTGGGTTCATGATTAACAGTATTCCGAGCTTTGTTGGTGGTTGGGATGGACGTTGTCTTAGATATACTAGCAGTTGTATTACCATTTTGAACATAACCCAGACCATGCCTATTTCCAGTAGGCTTGTTCATCCCTAACAGATTATTGAGTTTTTTCGTACCACTCATGAAGGAATGAAGTCGTATGTTAGATTTTCAAGATCATTTGTTAAGGATTTAACTTTGGCTTCTAAGTTCTCATTAACAAGTTTCAACTCACTCAGATTTTTGGTAGATTCCTAAAGGTCACTTATGAGTTTTTTTTTTCTCTCATTCAAGTTCATTAACCTTTTTCAGAACAACTTTATTGACATTTTTGATTTTAAGACTCTCATCAAATAACTTTCGATAAGATTCATGAATATCGGTTTCTTCCTCAGAATCATCCTCAGATTTCTCACTACGTTCTTCATCCTCAACCTTTTCACTTTCCATATCAGATTGAATCTTAATTATAGATGTGAAGGCCATGAAATTGTGTTCATCCTCACCACCAGAGGTATCACTCTGAACACTCGAATCTGATTCATCATCACTCAAGGTCACTGCTAATGCCTTACGCCTTCCTTTCTTCAGATTCTTCTTCAAATTAGGACATTCATTCCTATAGTGACCAAAACCCTAACACTCATGGCATCTAACTGATTGTGTTTTCTTATTAGAGGTCCTGAAGTTATTATTCACACGCTTATCATTCGAGAATTTGCTAAGAACACCATTTTTCGTTCTTGAGGTTTTCTCATATTCCTCATCACCTTCTGATATTTTTTAACGAAATATGCTATTTCAACGTCCCTAACAGTCTCAACATCAGTAGGCTCACTCTCTTTTTCCTTAATAGTGTTAATTGCTACGGATTTAACCTTTTTCGGTTAAGATATTGTGAGTTCATAGGTTTGGAGAGATCCTACGAGTTCTTCTATCTTAAAATCATCTAAGTCTTTACTTTCTCCAATTGCAGTGATTTTAGGTCTAAACCTTGCAGGTAGGGATCTAAAGACTTTTCTAACAACTTTAGACTCGGGGATCTCATTAAAATTGGCATAGAATTCATCAAACGATTCATCGTCCTTCATTCTAATTTCTTCAAACCTCGACGTCAACATCTGTAATTTAGAGTTTTTAACAATTTTAGTTCCCTCGTGTGTAGTTTCTAGTATATCCCAAACATTTTTAGCAGTTTCACACATCGAAACTCCCCTAACCTCTTTGGTAAACAAGCCATGAACAGGGCGTGAAGGCCCTTACTATTCTAGTTATACTCAGCTAACTCATCTTTAATCCAGAGTGAAATATCAGTGGGTGTAGCTACACCCGTAACAGTAGTTGAAGGTGTAGTTCACCCAGTTTGAATACTCATCCAAATACGCTCATCCCATGCTTTAAGAAAAGCTCTCATTCAAACTTTCTAATAAGCATAGTTGCTTCCGTCGAAAAACGGAGGTACAGATATAGACTGACTCATCTAGACTTAATTAAAGGTTAGGAATCGAAATAAGGCTCTGATACCAATTGAAATAAAGAAGTTCGACCCAAACTACACCTAAAGAGGGTGAATAAGTGATGATGCATAATTAAAACTTAATAATTAATTAGCAACAACTCACTATGAATTATCTCTAGATGGTTAATCAAACAGTCTAATTTTTCCTATGTTGAAATACCGCATTTATATGAAAGCAATAAATAAACACAAGATATGATCACGGAGAAACCCCAATTGGATAAAAACTCCGGGCACTTTACAGTCAACAATCCACTATAAACGAATTAGAACTTACAGTCCACCAGACTCGACTACCAGTAGTACTTTTTGACCTCATAACTGCAATTCCCACAACTCTTCTGGATTTCGTGCTCCTCCACCAACTCCCAGCTGTAATTTTCAAAGTCCTCCTGGATTGCGCGCTTCTGCAGTAACTCCCGATTTTGTGAATTTGTCTATCTCTTATGAATTCATAGCAAAATTACGATGCCGTTTTTCCTCTTTTTCCATTCTTGAACCTTAGACCTAATACAACTCAATTTCTACTATTTGCAACCTACTCCTTGACTTTTACGACATATTAACTTAGTCTATTTTGTTCACAGACTTTCTAATTATATAAAAAACCTAACAGATTTGTTTTATAAGCACTTGCTTTTTGTATGACATCGTTGTACCTTGTCTTTACTAAACCATGCAAGTAAATTTATACCCCGTTAACTATTATCTAATTAGCATCATTCATTTTGTCCTTCAATTACATGTGGATATTTTTTCATATTATAATGAATCTTCTTTAAATCATTGCAAGTATCCCAAAATTATTATTAAAGCACTATAGCGTTCATTACTTAGGTTATTTGTGCATCGACTTAACTTACTGCGTACATTGTATGTGGCCTTGTACAGTTTATACGGTACATCAAGCTTTCCATCTGGGAATATTCTAACCGTTGTTTCAATTTTGTTTATTCTTTGGTAAATTACTTGAGGAAGCGAAGAAGTAATCGTCTATTTAATAAATATTCTAACCGTTGTTTCAATTTTGTTTATTCTTTGGTATATTACTTGATGAAGCGTAGAAGTAATCGGCTTTTAAATAACACGAGTGTTAATTCTCACAATCACTTAAGTACATAATGTGTTTGAGACCATGTTATTTCATGAGGTGTTTTAAAAATTTCATTAGTAAAGTCATATGTACTACACCCGTGTCTTTCATGTAACAAATATTAGTGAGCATTTTCTTTGTCTTATTGATAACATCCATATTAGTTCCAAGTACGAACATCCACATAGACAAACTAGTACGTATGATTTACAAAATATCTTGGTATATGCGCATCTATCACACCCATTTATGGTGAGTTCATCTCTGATCATGATAGTATCTAACTTTTCGAGCTATTTCTATAAGATTGCTTTAGTCCATACACGATTTGATAAGTTTACAAATGCTAATACTCTGAATACCTATATTCGAATCGTTAAGAATATTCATTTCATAACTAAAAAGGGAAATTTATCCAAATAGTTTGAAATATGAACTAAAGGAAAAAAAAACACTTCAAACTAAAAACCAACTTTTCGACCTAAGGATAATTACCAACGGATTGTGTAATCGGAAACGGATTATCCATTGGTAGAAGTATTAGACTTTTAAGTAAGAAGATCACCAACGGAATTTTCGTTGGTAAAAGAAGCAACTCTTCACCAACGGATATTCAATACCTAATGTCGTTGTTTAATATGCTTACCATTTACTAACAACATTTTCGTAGGTGATGTAATTTAACTTTTTTTCTAAAAAATGTGTCTACCTTTCACTTATGGATTTTCCGTGGGTGAAGAGTAGCTCATATTACCAATGTAATTGTCTTTGTTAATATTAATCAATTTTAATAATTAAAAAAAAATCATACGTTCTCCTATGGAATATGCGTAGGTGAAGGATAATTATTTTTTTCAAAAAAAAAATAAATTCAGCCTCTTCACCATTGAAATTTTGTAGGTGAAGACTAATTTATAATCTATGGAAAATCCGTTGATGATATTAATCAATTTTAGTAATGCCAAACCAAAGAAATTCTTATCCCACATCGAAAGTCCATAACAAAATCTTTGGAGATGACCTCTATAAATTAGTGGTCTAATAAGTGATTAAACAACTTTTTCGACCATTCAATTCAATTTGCTAAAAGTTAAAAAATTATAATTATTAAACAATAATAAAAAAATAATTTGTTTTTGCCACGCCTCACACCTATGCGGCTATTTACAACACTGATTTTTACCAATTGTAATGGTAGATATTTACTAACGGAAAATCGATTGGTAATGGTTAAGATTTTTACCAACGGAATTTCCGTTGGCAAAAGGTTCACACTTTACCAACGGATTTTTCTATTGGTAAAAGGTTCACACTTTACCAACGGATTTGTGGTTGCTAACATTCCGTTGGTAAAGAGTAATAGCAACAAATATCCTGGTTTTAGGAACGAAAAATCCGTGCCTGAAGCCATGTTTTTTTGTAGTGAATATTTTCCAAATCAAAACATCTTGACTCATAGGAAATTAAACATAAAGTTTCAAGACTTTAAATTTTAAACATTTAAACATCAACACAAAAACTAAAATTAGTTCTAAGATCCTTCCATTAATCCACGGCACACGACACCACCAATTATCATCATCAATCCGGTTCGCATTAATCTGTAAATGAAATCCCAAATAATGTAAGTATTTCAAAAAAATACAAAGTGAGATACATGCTATTCAATCTAGAAATAATATTAATAACAATACCATACAATCAATACCACATTTTCATCATGTATAAGGAGGCCATATACGAAATTCCGAATTTCACAAATAATTCATCCAAATTTTCAGATTTCTTATCATTTCATCTCAAAATTCTCTCAAAGTTTTATAAAGAAAAGAAAGAAGTGAAGATTTTTAAAACCAGGGAAAAGTACTTAATTTCAAAGAGTTTTAAAGAAAATATAAGATGAGATATTAATTATGTGCAAAGTATTTATTCATCTTGATATAATATTTTTGCAATCTTATATGATATGCTAATACCTCTTCGGTTCATAATGGTTCGGATTTGGTGATTTACGAAATGTGCAAAACTTTTTATTCGATATGGTTCGGTTTGTTTGTTTTGAATTTTATACATGGGAAATTATAAAAAATCAAGAGTTTAAAGTTTACTTTTTAAAAATCAGGTGCAAAGTTTGTTTATTCAAAAATGAGGTAATATATTAAAACATAACCCTAATCTTAAACAAAACATAAATCCCTTTTATTCTATTCCTCCTCCTTTGCTGATTCTCGTCTCTCTCTCTGCCCTCTTCCTCACCACCGTCGCCAATGCCGGAGAGTCGAGTAGCGGCGCCCATAGATCCACCACACGGACTGGCCACAGCCCAGATCCAGATTCAGATTCACCAGCTTAGTGTTATTGTCTGGAAATGCAGCAGTCATTGGAAGAAGCTCCGAGATGGAGGTGGCCGCCGCCTTTAGAGGCCACTCGACGGCCTTGCTAGGCTGATCATATCCTAGCCAATCCTGCAATTCGTAGAATTGAATAGCAGTACTCACAGAGAGGTGTACACGGTGGTACCGAGCCTTTCCTCCGGAAGCTCGAGAAACCCTTACGATTCTCGAGGAAGACCAGCCGTAAATCCTACCAAGTCTGCCACCACCACCAGTTAGATCGACTCTACCACTACTCCTTTTCAGCTCTCCATCTTCATCATCTTTATGAGTTAGCCCCAACTTCTCTGAATCAAGCCACAGCAGCGTCACATCAGGGGGGGTGGAGAAGGGAGAGAGGCCATGGTAGTGAGAGACGGGCGGTGGCGGTGGCGGTGGGTGGAGGTGGTGGCGGGTTTGTTGTGGTGTGGTGGCGGTGATGTCAGTGTTGTTGAGGGGACAGGGATGGTAGTGGATCTGGTGGTGGGTTTGGGATTATTTTTGTTGGATTTGGTTGTGACAATTTTGTTGGTGGTGGCGTCGTAGAGTGGTGGCTTTCATTGGTGGTGGTAGCGGTGGCGTGGCGTTGGTGCTGTTGTGGTGGTGTCAAGGTGAGGGTAGACGGAAGTTGCGGTGGCATGTGACCTATTATTTGGTGTGTGACCAAGTATTTGGTTATCTATGACCAAGTATTTAACTGTGATCTAAAAATTTGACAATATGTGACTGAAAAATAATCTGTGACCAACAAATTTGAAAATATGTGACCAATGAAATTAACCATTTTTTAATTTGTGACCGTAAAAAATCTGTGACCAACTAATTTGGAAATCTGTGACCGTGTAACCTATAAATTTTGATATGTGAGTAACTAATTTTGAAATTTGTGACCAACAAATTAAATGTGACCTATAAAATTTTTGAACTGTGACTATTAAATAATCTGTGACGTATAAAAATTAGTATTTGTGACTGAAAAATAATATGTGACTAATTCAATTATAAATCTGTGATCGAAATGATTGCCGGAATAGTCGACGGAATGGTCATCGAAATAGTCGCGGGAATCGGAGCAGTCGCCGGAATGATCGCCGGAGAAGAGTGGTCACCGAAGAAGAGTGGTGGTTGGAATGGTTACCGAAATAGTCCCCGGAGCCGTAGGGGTGGTGCATGTGGGGTGAGTTTATTATATTATATTATATTAGAATTGAAAAAAAAAAAAACCCGATTTTTGAATTTTCAAACTATAAACCTGATTTTTGAATTGGTGTAGAGTATATACCTTATTTATGAATTTTTCCCTTGCAAGAATTACCTTTTATCTTTTTGGTTTCTCCTCATTATTTATGAATTTTTCCCTTTATACATTAATGTATTGTGCTTGTAATCTGAAGCCTTCTAGTCATTTAATGTAAACTTTCTCATTTAATTTATAATTTTAAAATGCGATCTTAAAATTCATTTGATGTATATGAAAGTTATGCCAGATTAAATTTTGAAGGTTATTTATAAAAATTAGTACATGATAATACATGAAGCTATAGGTCCTATTGGAGATGGAGTTATTTCTATGCTAAAACATTCTTAATTGATATTCTAGTTATGTCTTCTATTTTATCTATTCATAATCTCCATAAAGATATAACCACGTCGTAGATAAGAGTATGATGATTTTATCCTGAAAAAGAAAACTAGCACATAAGAATATCCATTGTCAACGTAAATCGAAAAATTATTACAAAAGGTTAATTGAGAATTAAAGTAAGTTGAATATGGTGGATTTGTGTCCTAGAGCCTATCTTTGAGAGTTGTTTACTTTTAGATTTCTTATTTTAGTTAGTACTCAGAATAATCCAAAATCATAATTGTTTATGATTCATATTAGAGCTAGTTTCAAATAAAGTAAAATAACTAAATAATGAGGATGAACCGCATCCCAGACGGCCCCGATCTACCCTACCCTAGACCTTGGTAAATGACGTAAATCGCAGGCTATGCCTCCAAGAGTACAGGGTGGAAAACTATTTGTACACTTGCACTTACTCAATAGTCAAATACATATTTCAGGATTCGAACCCTTGACGCGTCACCTCAAGCAAAATTGGAGTTTTTCCACCTTCCCCTTTTACCACTTGGAGATGTGTCATGGGGACAAAGTCCTCGGGGGGGTTTGATACTATATTAATCTTTATATTCTTGTTTACTCCTTTCACTTGTGGGATAAAAATTGACAACAAATTTTTGACAACATTGCTAGGGTTGTTTTATTTATTTTCTGCTTTAGGTAATTTTACCTTTAATTCTGTTCCTTTATTTTTATTTTATTTTTTACTCAGCTAGTCTATTTGATTTTTTTTTTTTTTTTTNTTTTTTTTTTTTTTTTTTTCTGTTTGTTTTCAATTTGTTGTCAAGGAATGAAGAGAAGCAAGGAAATAGCAAAAAGAAGAGATGAAAAAACCCAAATTCGAGGAGGAATACTTGCTTGTAGGAGACTTAATCTATGAAGTTGATGACGAAGACATGCTTGAAGATTTTATCATAAAGCAATGAGCAATAATGATGGGATATGCATTTGCTAAAATTGATGACGTTGCTTTTCATGGGATTACTTCCCCCATCACGAATGGACAAGAAATGTATAAAATTATCTACATATTAGCATACGTTGAAATAAAATATAATGACTAAAAAAAATACTAATTTAAAGAAAACGAAATTAAATTTACGTAAATATATTTACTGATTCGAAGTATTGGATAAATTTATGAGGTTTTAAGGTTGAAGAATGTGAAAAATGAAAGAGTCGTTATATGTGCTGAAGAAAACAAATAAAGAAAGTAACTTGATTTTGAAATTTTAAGTGGAAAGTGTTTGCTTTTATTTTGTACCTAAAAGGTTATTCTTATCTTTTTAATATAAGCATATTTTTGTAGTTTAATAACCTTATTAAGGGGATTTTTGTCTTTTGCAATTGAAAATGTCATTATGGTGAATAAAGAGTACGTTAGGCTCATGTGGTGACGGGCAAGTTTTACATGGCCACTGTGAAAACTCTCCCAACTATAGGTCGGCCCGCCCCTATAAACCATTATGTAACTTCACACACTAGCTTCACACACGTTTCCCATTCTATCCTCTTTTCTCTCTATCTTTATCAACTCTATCCGTGTCTTCATATGATTTGGTGGTGGTGATCTTTATAATAGATGGGTTCGTGTGACGTTTGTAAAATCCCGATTTTTTTCATAAAATAGAATTATTTATTCAAAATACTATGTTTTTAATATTTTGAAAAGTTAGGGACTAAAGTGATATTTATATTAAATTTCATTTTTATAAGAATCAAATATTTGGATATTGATGGAGCAATGATAAGTATGTGGATATTGTGCTCGTTGAATAAATCGTAATTAATTATGCATATTAGGCTCGATAAAAAGTTAGTTCGGATAAGTGACGCCCAAGTTATCGAGGTCGAAAGATATTGCCTTAAATTGTAATTAAGTTAAGTTAATTAATGAGTTTAGAATATATAGGTGACACGTGTAGAGTTGGTAAATTGTTAGAGTATCTCCAAGAAACTCTTTAAACATGAGATACTCTTTATTTTAAAGAGTCGACATTTAAAATCACGCTCCAACAGACTCTTTAAACTAACATTTTAATTTAGAGAGTGGGTTGGGCTCTCCAAATTTAGAAAGCCAAACTCACTCTCTACAATTAAATACATTCAAAGTGTTTCAATTTTCAATGTAAAAAAATAATAAAATAATCTAAAATAAGCTAGTTAAAATAAAAGATAAACAAAAATAATAAATATTTTTTATGAGTAGTAAAATTAAGTATTAAATATAAAGAGATTGTTGGATTACTTCAAAATTTTAACTCTCTAAATTTATAGATGCTCTCCAAATGATAGAATATACTCTTTAAAAATAGAGAGTCTATTGGAGATGCTCTATGATCGATATGGACAAGTTTGAAGTATTTGAAAAGAAATACTTCAAAATTTTAACTCTCTAAGTTTATAGATACTCTCCAAATGATAGAATATACTCTTTAAAATAGAAAATTTATTGGAGATGCTCTTCATTGATTTTTTTTTTTTTTATTATATAAGGATTTGTTTTATTGTACAACCACATGTAGGAGTTGTTGAAGGGGGTTATCAAATGCAGTCGTGGTGCCAAGATTTATGGAACTAAATAAATAATTTATTATAACGTGACTATGGATTTATTTATTTTTCAGCATTATTTTTGTTTATTTATCACATGGATCTTGTTATTTGGAACGTATTTTATTTAAAAAGATAAACAAAAATAATAAATATTTTTTGGGAGTAGTAATATTAAGTGTTAAATATAAAGAGTTTGTTGGAGTACTTCAAAATTTTAACTCTCTAAATTTATAGATGCTCTCCAAATGATAGAATATACTCTTTAAAAATAGAGAATTTATTGGAGATGCTCTTCATTGATTTTTTTTTTTATTATTATATAAGGATTTGTTTTATAGTACAACCACATGTAGGAGTTGTTGAAGGGGGTTATCAAATAGTTTTTTTTTATTATTCTTATATTTTTGTTGAAAAATCTCTAGCTGTCACGTGTCCATAAAGTTGTTGTTGATATATTTCATTTCACTTGATAGAGACGCGTTGCTTGAAACATGTCATTTCCTACACTAAGTCCAACACCTTTATCCCCACTTTCTATAGAATTTGTTATAAAATATAACTCATGAATGTAATAACTTTTCTACACTATATGTTTATGCAAAAACACGGCAGAGGCGGAAAAAATTAAGTGAACATGATTTCTTTTAGTTTTGTCTTCCAAATTTAAGAAATCCAACAAAGTAGGATAATGAGGCGCAGTTGATTTTATCTCGTTTAAATTATTTTTTCATGTTGTTGAATTATTGTACTTATGAAAGTTAAAGATATGATATGATATGAAATGTATGATATGGTCATCCGGTACCAAAGATATGATATGTATTGAGCTCTTACCGATTTTGTAAAGATATGATGACGGTATGATATTTTGACATATGTTTTAAATCTTTTATTCGAGATTGCACCAATAATTTGTCATATTGAGAATTCCCATATAAACACTGCTTTCCCTACTCCTGACAGGTTAGAACTAGTTGTTGGTTAGCGGGCGATGAAATGCAGTCGTGGTGCCAAGATTTATGAAACTAAATAAATAATTTGGTATAACGTGACTATGGATTTATTTATTTTTCAGCATTATTTTTGTTTATTTATCACATGGATCTTGTTATTTGGAACGTATTTTATTTGGATATGTTTCTTACATGTATTTTATTTATTATTGGTAGAACAAAAATTTTCACGTTGGGTTGTTTGATATGTTTATTTAATTATCAAATGAAATGTTTAGTAACGATTTAAACTTTAAAATTTGGATCGTTATAGTTTGGTATCAGAGCTTTATGTTTAATTTTCTGTAGACCCATATGTATTTTCATAACTTGAGTTTTGGAAAAAAAAAT